CTTACATGTTGGTAAGTTATCTTAAAATTACACTTAACTTCCATCAACGTGTTATAGATTTCTTCTAAAGTAGATGCATCAATGTGCGACTGCTGCTGCCGTTGCATTTTGCTTCAACATGCTGCACAGATGTTATGCAGAAGTACCACTAATGTTGCACATACATTGCTGCAGAAGTACAAACACATAATAGGCTTGTGCAGGTTATGTTTATGGAAGGGATACTTTACACATGGGTTTTATATCTGTTCAAGTTCTTAGCAACACGGTATGATCACATCCAAATGAAGCTGCCATTGATGCCTTTGTTTAAATCTTCCTGTGAGTTTGCCAGCATGTTGGACAAAATTGGCAGTTGTACGGATAAGTTGTCTAAAATGTCATAGTGTAACAGTGGTTCTTACTTACCGTTGAATGGCACTGTTGTTTCTGTCAATGATGTACCATTTGAGATACTCCTCCACAAAAGCTTGCTTCTCACAAATCTTCACACCTCTGAAGCATCCAGCAGTTTGGAACATGGTACTGTTTTGAAAAATTAGATTCTGCAGTGCTTCCTCTGATTGTGCTTCCAGGACCTAAAAAAGGCATTTAATTTCAGAACAACTTAAACAAAATTTTCCATTTGACTACTTTTATAACAAAATACAATTATAAAAAAACAATTATTCAACTGATTTGTGACGTTATCTGTTGTTGAGAGAGGTTAAAAAAGACAAATTAAAGCACTCAAGCATAATCAACTAAATTTAAAATAATTGTTGAGTTGTCCTATGGTAAATCCATTCCCTGAACCTAGGTTATTTCATACCTGTTGTAGAACTTTCCCTATTTCCTCATCTTTCACATCCTCTACAGTGGCTCTGAAACTTGGATTCCCTATCATGTGATTGACCAGGTTCTTTGAGAGAAAATGTGGTGCTGGTCCCCCTTGTACAATGGATACAGCAATCATCTTTCCTGCTAAAAAAAACTCATCTTCCCTGGCAGCTGTTATACAAAGCACACAATATGGTTAATTGTTACTTTGATCTGCACAATAAATATAAAGCAAATATTTATTAACATTTTGATTTTAATAGTACAATAACTTCTATAAAAGTAAAAAGACCCACCTCTTGAATTACATACAAGGTAACGTCTCTCTGGAGGTCCATCGAAGATGGGGCGATTTCTCAGTTGGCTCATGAGAAGTGTGAGGAACTCACGCCTCGGGCCGCCAGTATCCAACCCTTCTTCAAAGCAGCCAGCATCATCATTAAACTTGACGAATATGTCGTTGTTGTCAGAGTACGTGCTGCGACGAAATCCTCGAACAGCTCCATCCCATACATCTGATCGTGATATATTGAATCTGCTGACCTTCTTGTGGTCAACTGCTAGGGCCAAATTTTGAATAATTTCATGTGCCTGCACATTTGTTTCTCTAGAAAAAAAGAACACTTACTTAGATAGGTGTAAATATACATACTTCTCTGATTGCTCACACTTTGCATAATGTAATCATGCGCAGGACCAGATGCTGGTTTATTGAATGCAAATGCAAAAATTACTAACACAGGTTCTTCTAGGGACAGATCTTCGCTTTTGGTTTCAGTAATATCTTCAACATCATCATTGTCGTCAATCACAATGGGTTCAAACAGGTTGGTGTAATTTCTGCAAAATATAAAGTATAAAAGCAACAAAATATAAATGCATTAGCAGCTTGTACAAGTAAACATTTATGTCAAGAGTAAAATGAAAAAAAAAAAAAAATAAAAGTGAATACGTTTATAATTGTGTGTACATTATTGTGTCATGTCCCTTTGAATAATTACAAGAAACAGTAGACACCTGTAACAGGAGCTCTCAACTGTGGCACATTCACTGGCGCCTGGATCGTTTCTCTCATCCAAATCTAAAACCTGAAAATACAGAAAAAAGACTGAGTAAAAAATAATGAAAAAAATTATGTTAGATGCAGTATTGTATTTTTACACTTTCTGATCATTGCAGCCTTAAGT